ATTCTACAAATAGTGTCAGAGCACATTAAAACACTGAATGGCAGTCTGCATCAGCTAAGAACATCAGACAAACAAGTGAAAATGTTAACCTACACAACCATATACAAACAAGCTAAGTTTATGGATGTGCAGTTTCAGAGTTTAAATGTCAAGGTCTGTGAAAGAATAAGACATGTTTGCTACTAAAAACCACAGACCATTTTTAGCCAACAAAATCACCAGTGGTTACTCTGAAACTAAGTGCTGTAATAGTAGGATGTGTAAAACGGAGATGTTGGAGATATGAAATTGAGAGTGTGTTTACTTCGGTCTTTTGAGCACGGCTGTGAGAGTCCCTGTCTGGGCTTCTGAACTGTTTCTAAGGTGACAGCGAGAGGAGGAAGAGGCAGAGAGCAAAAGAAGGGATAAGGTGGACAGGGTGTGAGGAAGCCACTGCCAGTGACCGAGGAGGGTATTACCCTTTGCTTCTGGGTATAAGGGTCACACACAATCTCAAAATCAATCTTTATTTTATTTGGTTGAAAAAAAAAACTCATGAAGTCTCCAATAGAAGTCAGTTTCATTCAGAGTCAAGCAGAAAAACAGTAACGCTCATTTATTCTTATTCATTTAAACTAATTATTTAACAACCCCGATTTCCCACTATTAAATATTTTACGGGCCCTATTAGCTCTCCTGAAATAATTCAAAGTAGATTTTTAAAAATTTTAAAACAAAATAAGTACACAAAGGATCTGTAATAAACATCAACCTAGGAGGGGATGTAAAGCTTCCTTGGATGATTTTTTGGCTGCAAAAAAGAATGCTGCCACAGAAATCTGTTTTGCATCATCTGAATGCTTGAAACAAGAACACATCATTCTGAAGGGGGAAAAAAAGAAAGGAAAGAAAGAAAGAAAGGAAAACCAGTGACTGCACTTAGCCAGAAAGAGCAAAGTTGTGCTGTGTTAGAAATAGCTTCCTATGATATTTTGGTAGGTTTCTGGGTTTTTTCAGCAATCAATGTAATTATGCGGTGTGAGAGGGCAGTGTTTATCCACATTACCATTTATACACTGTACACAACAGAGGACTGATGAACACGTGGGTTTGTGGCCACATCCCTGACCTCAGCCTCAGGAAGCCCAGGGGGTTGAGGAGAAGCAACTGCAATCTTTAAGCTGGAAAGTATTGATTCCCAGATCAGCTTTGTCTGTGTCCAATACCCAGCACTTCCTCCTGCATGGAGGGGGGCCAGAGCTGCAGAAAACTGTCCTTAGCAGGAAGTCAGTATGCTAATTCTTTCCAAAGTTTCTGACATGATGCAAAGGCAGAGTGCTCCCTCCCTCCCCTCCCCCTCCAGGCATCTTTCCCCATGGCTACTTTGCTAAGCTTAGAAAGTCCTTTCTGGGAAGCAGAGAAAGGACACTTTTGCCTATAAGAATATTCCAGCTTGGTAAACCATTGCATATATCAAGAAGAATCTAAATGCTAACTTTATACAGAAAAGTTCTTTCAAGAAAGTGACATCCGTTTTGTTTTGTTTTGTTTTTTTCTGTGTAGAGCCTCCTTCAGATGCAAAACTGGCACAAAGAAAAGTACCAAGCTGCAATGCTGCTCAGTTCAGTCACAGCATAAACCACATTTTAACTTTCACACAGTGCTCTACTAGCTGGCATCCTCGTAAGCGGCATGCCTGTTCCAATGGGCTGATGGCCAAAGTCCTGTTGCTGTGACTGGCGGAGCGGCGGCGGCACACCTCACTCATTCACACTGAGGACTATGGCAGCACCACTTACACAAGCCAAAAGATGTGAATCGGCATTTTGTGACATGCATTTTGTTCTGTGTGGCTCTTTATTAAAAAACTAGGCTGGCTCCCAGGAACATTATATATTCTACATAAGCTGATCCACCCATAACGAAAAGAACAAGCCAGTGGTCTCTTAGGAACACAACTGGTAGGGTGAGATGTAGACACTAGCCTATGATGGCATTCTAGAGCCTTTGACTAGTTTGTATAATTACGCTTTCAAAACTCATCAGATATAATTGTATTGTGGCCACTTTGCTCCCAAACTCTGTAGAATTAAATGTACCATTTCGGCAGACATTTCTTTCCATATATAACCCTCACCTACAGCAAATTCTCTGTATAAACATAGAATGTGAAGATGTTGATCAACCTGCTGGACATGAGCTACAGACCCCTACAAACCTGTCCCCATGCTGAGAAGGACAGTGATTCTACCGTAGCCCACAGGTCGGTGGAGAAGTCAGGAGGAAGAAATGCGTGGCCCACGAGATGTGGTCCATACGCAAGCCGAAGAGGCTCACTTTGCTGTCACTCACAGTTGACGTGTAGAAAAGAATGGAGGTGAATAAGCCGGCATCAGGCCAGGGAACCGCCACTCCAGATGGCACATTCTATACTTCCTAGGCACAACAGACATGGCTCAGTGTGACATAAGTTCTTTCATAAGTGAACCTAGGGCATACTTTACCTTGGGAATGCAAGTCATTTTGGTGTGTTTGGTTTTCTCTTTTCCTATTTTCTTCTTCGTCATTCCACTCTTAAGTACGACTTGGTAGTACCCTGAAAGATAGCTTGACTTCATGAAGTCTTAAACAGACTGGGGAAAAAATATCTAAATTTGTTCTCACTATTGGTTCTATTACCCATCACCTCATGCTCCAGTTAGGCCTCAATTACAGTGACCAACAACACTGTTGGGTTTTGGAAGTAGCAGCAAAAATTGTCTATGAAGTTAAAGTAATAATAAAGAGTGATGATGACGATAAGACAAGCAGGACCAATAAAGGCAAGGATATATGTACTTGTGTCTCTTGGGAGCCTGTGCTGGCCTATGTATTCTTCAAACACACTGCGGACTGCAGGCGAATGGTCTTCTCACACTGCAGTGCACCTGCCTCCCTGACAGCTTGCTGTGAACTGTGACACAGCATGCTTTACAAATGGGAGAAGACAAGAGGACATTATATGTGACTGCCATGTGACAAGACGACTTTGCCTGGGTATTCTGAAAGGGGAGAATAAGCTGTTTGGGCAGCAGGAAAAAGTACTGCCAATGTGCACCCATATAGCTCGTCTGTCACTTTAAGAGCTGAAATAGGAAAACCTGTACCATTTTTGTGCTTCTGTTCATTCTTTTCAACTCGTTCTAAGTTGCCCCCTGGGAGTCAGCCCTCCACCAAAAGTCTCTTTCAGCCCACAACCAGCTCTCTCTATTAAGTGTGCCCACCCCTGCTCTGCTCTAACACTGCCCCCTTTGTACTTGCCTGGTGAACTGACCAGCCATACAGTACAATGGCCACAATTACTAAATTACACTGCCTGTCACTGCCTTTTGTATTACACCTCTAACAGGTGCCATTACCATGATAGGCAAATTGTAATAATCCATTCACAGCATCCACAGCCTTCATAATGTATTTTTTTATTTTACATAATCTGTGTGAATGCCACAAGGCATCTCAATAGTTAGTAAACACACAGGCCTGAAAGACTGAGCCCCATGGAATGCAGCCACCAACAAAGGCACACAGGACAACAGACCTGAATGCAACCACGTTCCTGATAAAGCGGATATACACACAAATACACCCAGTGGAGAAATGGCCTCCAGACTTCAGAGTTTTCTAAAACAAACTTAGGAACCTGAGAGAGTAGAAAATAGGGTATTACCAATCTGAAACTGGTGTCTGTGCTTACAACTCCATATGGCGGGTAGGTGAGTAAAGCCATACAAATCCTCTGCTGTTCTCAATGACCAGTGCCACAAAGCACAAGAGAATGGTGAGGGCCTGACAGGGGCCACTGCTCATGCAGGTCCTGTGAGCACTGCCTGTCCTTCCGTCATGTCCCTTTGGGTCTTCATCTCTGAGATGTGCATGCAGACTCGGCTCCACTGCTCAAGCACTCCTACTTGCCAAAGCCACCATGTCTTACCTGCTAGAATAGTCTCTGGTCTTCTGCAGCATCTGGTTACTCTAACCAGCTTCTTTTTCTTTGGCTTCCATGACACCACCCAGAGTCACCTCCACATCCTCTATCACTTCTTCCAACTCCTCCTCTGCCTCCAAAATGCAAAGTCCCTGGGCTCAGCGCTCTCGTTTCCATTAACACGCTCTTGGAGATCTTGTCTTACCTGCTCCAGGGAGTATAAACATGCCTCCACAAGGCAGCAGCAAAGCTCAGCTTTAAGTGGAGTATGAATAATTTTCTTCCCTTGGCTACTTGTTTAATCTAACCTTGGACAGTGACTAGGTGCTCCCCCCCCCCTTTATTCCACACTACACAGAAATTGGCTGCCAATTAATTTATGGCACAATGCTTTCTTACTACTTAAACTTTTAATTCTAAACATGTAAAGATCTCTTCCTGCTCACTTAGAGAGATTTCATCCTGGCACACACATGAAAGGGGAAATATAAGCAAAACAAACAAGCTGAGTTTTTTCATGAAATACTCTCACACATCAGTGGTCTAAACTTTTGAACTACTGTTCTTCATCAATGTCTCCGAGGCCTCAAACACATCACTCACACCCTGACAAATAGTCACCACTACTGTTTAGGGCTCAAAGTCTTCCACATGCCAGTAAGTAAAAGACTCCTTAATTTCAGAAATGTTAAATTATTAAAAGGTGCTATCTCACAGTCATAAAATGCAGTAATCATGCAGTTCATTTATTGGGTACTTAAAAACTATATGCACCACATATACAGACTTCATAGACATTTAAAATGAGATTATACTGTTAAAAACCATGATATTTAAAATAGTTAAACATTAACTCAGTAAAGAAAATAAGTTTCACTCAAATACAGTAAAAAGTATTCAAGTGATTAATATTAGATGCATTCATTCATCCTGCTGAGGACTAAACCCAGGGCATTGCCTATGTTAGGAAAGTGCTCTGTCACTGAGCCACATGCACAGACCGGAATGCATATGCTTAAGTCATAATCACTCAAAGAACAATTTATATCTAAGAATCTAGGCACCACCTCATCCTCCCAGCTCAAACAAACAACAGCAAACAAGCAAACTGCAAGAATTAGGAGATATCCAGTCTCTCTTCCTGTGTTCTTCATCTGCTAACAGAAATAGTAAACAGCTAACCACCAGGTGACATTCCTCAGATTTATCTGATATGAGTTGTTTCTTAACTTGTTTTTGAGATTTAAATATCTACAACAAATAATTTAAAGTGTAAAATGAGTACTATAATTTAAGTAACTTAGAAAAACAATTAAAACTACAGTATTTGCCAGGAACCTGCAGAGATTCATAAGAATGAATGGGTACACGCAGGAAAAGAAGCTGAACAGTCAGGCATGGGTTTTTATCATCCTCCGAAGGTTCCAGGGACCATGGTAAGCATGGAGAACACTCCTCCCAGAAGCCAAGGGTAGCAGAGAGCATTTGTCTACTCCTCTACTTCCTTCCTTCCTGCCTGCCTTTTATTTTTTCTCTTTCTGAGACAGGCTCTTCCTATATGGCTCAGGCTGGCTAGAACTTGTAATCATCCCGTGTTAGCCTCCTCAATGATGGGATGACAAGTACGCACTATCACACCTGGTCTCTAGTTCATATTTAAGTGACAGAAATCTATCTCAAATAAATGAAAGAAAAACTAAAGTAGGGAGAGGGAATATAGATTATTGGTTAATAATATGTAATATGACTGGTCAGTTGGTCTAAAGGGCCTCTTAGCAACTAGATTTTGGATATATATTACCTAACATCCAACTTTTATTTATTACTGAACTTGCTAGAAAATGTGGGGAATCTTCATGAAAACTAGAAAAGGCCACATATATGGCATAGTGAGAAATGTACCCTGACTCTGTCTGCACCATCCCCAAGTTAAGAAGCACAGCAGCCACATAAATCTCCTTGGCAATCCATATTCCCTTTCCTTGGGGGTCGGGGAGTGGAGGAGGAAAATCTTCACCCACGTGCAAATATCACTGTTCTCTCACGTCTAATAATGAAAGCCAGTCGGAGGCCACTGTTTGGTTTTTTCCCAATAACATACCCTGTGTTGTACCCAGAACTGCAAGGCCACTGAGTGTAGGAACTGAGTAGGAAAAGGGAGATAGAGGAGACCCAAGGTACCTGGTCTACTGTGTGTCATAGGGCAGACTGCACACAAGAACATACACAGAGGTACAGAGCAGGAACTTAGGGCCATGGGCATGACTTGCTCTTGGGGCCGTGGACTTTGTACTGAATGTGGGTTCTAATCACATCTGTTTGGCTAGAACAGCTGTTTAAAACACCAGTGCTTTTGGCGAGGTGCATGCTCCCTCAGGCCAAGGACCCTTTCCCCCACCTGTGTGGGTCTTGTACCATTTGGATCTGTCACCACTGAATACATCAGAAGCACTATTGGTGTTGAAAAGCATCTCACTGGTCTCATATTATGGTGAAACGGAGTATTTAATTTCAAAATTAATCATTTAATAATGTGCCACTAAAATACATTTCATTGCCTCCTTGAATAATGGATACTATTCCCTGTTTTATTGACTTAAAGTTACTTTTACAAATGGTCATCACTGGGCTGAGTAGTACCACTTTTCCCGTAATGACCATTTTCTGACTGTGATGTTAAGGCTCCTTTAGCTCTTCTGCTCAAGATTAAGAGATAAAATAAGCAAACAAGTGCAGGCCTGCAAAAACAAAACTCTTTTAAGAACTGAAATGTGGAGATACCGATCAGCAACACCCAACACCACTTACACCCTCCACTCTGAGCTTATCAGACTCCCAACAACGCTGGCTCTGTCTTCCTTTGATTAACAATGGCATGGAGAGACAGACACCTTTCCTAAAGTCACAATAACTGACAGACCTAATTCTAAACCTCTTGCTCCCAACAGCTATCTGCATTTTTTGTTATGAGCTTTTTTAAGGCATCCTAGAATATTTGTCCAAGACTGGTGTGGTATGTTATAAATGAGCTTCCTTACAATAGATACTGATTATGTGGAATACTCCTAGTTTTCCCTTTAAAGTTTAAATTTGGAAGGAATCAGTGAGACGGGAAGATACTTACATGGAGCTTGGGACGAACAAAACAGAACAGACCTGAGAAGCAGAGTCTCTGCTATCTACCCATTACGGGATGTTGAACAAGCCACTTGGTCTCATGGTGAAATAAAGAGAACTATCCAGTTAACTCCAACAGAATGCTTGGGAAGTCAAGACAACACCGGGAACAGTGGTCTGTCAGCACAGCTCAGCAAATACTAGCTGAATTTGCCCTGGGTTATGCTACCTGTAAAGGTGAGGATAACAGTCCTCACAGGGTTGTTTCAAGTGGGAAATAATACGTGTGAATTCTTTTTAAATTTCTTAATATTTAAATTCATTTATTGTGTGCGTGATATAGTATGTGTGCATGCATGTATGTGTATAGTGCATGTGCACATGTGTGCAGGGATATAGTATGTGTGAGAGATATAGTATGTGTGCATGTATGTGCATAGTGCATGTGCACGTGTGTGCAGGGCTAGAGGAAGAACTGGGTATCCTGCACTATCCTTCCATGCCCTACTCCTTTGAGACAGGGTCTTCCACTGAAACTGGAACTAGGTTGGTGGCCAGCAAACCCCAGAGACCCTCCTGTCTCTGCCCTTCCACCCCTGGCACTGACCATGCCTGGCTTTTGCATGGGTGCTGAGGATTTGAATTCAGCTTCTCATGTTTGCACAGCTAATGCTCTTATCTGCTCTTATGAGCCATCTCCCCAGCTCCAACAAAGTGGAAATTCTCACAACATGGTATCTGATACACAGAAACCACTCAGTATATGTTGCTAGGGCTGCTATAATTGTTCCAATTCCATTCTTACCAGAGTTCTTTTAGGGTGAATGTGCAAAAACAGGATGGGGGAAAATGCTGAAAGACAGATGATTCTTTATTGACCCAGGAAGTGGATATGAAGGTGTCCCAGACAGTGTGCCTCAGTGTTGAAGTGCTTGCCTGGTGTGCTCAGTGCCACTTGGTTCTAGCCTTAGCACTCAAAACATGCATCCAGCTAACAACATAACATGCAACTGGCATCTTAGTCTCTTCAGAGAAACAAACTAGTACATGAACAATAGCTTTCCTTGACGTTTATTTAAATAGTTGTTTTTTCTTCATGAAAGGAACAACTTTAAAAATTGTCCTGTGTCAAAATATGGGCCAATATCCATTGAGCTTCAGTGGATTATATTTTATAGTAATCCACCCAACTGGAAATCAGAATCTCCCAACAGGGCAGTTAGCATTCCTTTCCTTAGCATTCCTTTCCCACCAGGATGCCAACAGGAAGTTTCCTTCCTTAATTTTTCCACAGGAAGGGGAAGCCTTGCCTTGTTCTTTTTGTCTTTGTCTTTGCAATAGGTAAAAATAAGAATTGAAAGGTACCTTACATGTGCAACCTTCAGGCAGCTGCTGGTTTTTGAACAAATTTCTTTTCTCTACTGAGTCAGCATTATACTTTGTTAAGTTCCCAGTGTTAAATTCCCTGCTTTAATTCTTCACAAAAGGTAACTACATATTTGAATATGAGGCTCTTTAGGGCAACATTTCAGCTTACATTTGAAAAGGGACCAACGAATTTAAATTCGACAGTAAGTCACCTAAGTTTGTGGGATCCCAGGCTGTGTGTGTCTGCAGAAGTGACCCCTTACGTGGAGTGTCTCAGGGACACAGCAGAGAATGGCACCAACCCGACCCTCCAGAGTAGACATTTCTCTACAAAGAAGCGGGCTCTGCAGACAGGCACGGTGTGCTGCACAGCATGGCTTCTGCCAGGTCCCGCCACTTTCCCCCACGTCACTGCTTAGAGAGGAGGAGACCCAGGCCACACAGCGAGAGCCCAATCCAGTCCCCTTGGCTGTACACATATGCAGGCTTTCATCTCCTCTCAGAGCCACGTGCTCAGCAGTATCACATGGCTACCTTCCCAGTTGTCCCCAGACACCTGCTTTGTTTGGGAGCCTCATTCTCAGCAGTGTTCAGAGACCCGGGGAAGGTGGGTCGGAGGACACTGTTTCTAGCTCACTCTATGGGGAGGGAAAACACACCTCGGTCTTTTAAAAAGGAGGTGCAGCTTAACTTTCAACTCTGCTCTCTGAGTAGATGTCAACTGGGATAATTAAACACTCTGGCATGCGATAATGAAAATGGAAGAGATCTGACTTAAGTCAGCCCTTCTTTGAGACTGAGAACTTGACCTCCACAGACCTCAGTGTTCTCATGTGTCAAATGGGGACAGTAGCAGCGACCCTAAGATAATTATGAGGGTCAAACGCGGTGCATGACTCTACCACAGAAGCCAACAAATGCTGTTCCCTTTCATGACGAATCTATTTGGGTTTCTAGAAAACACACAGCTAATCAATGGGTTGCACATCTTGAGTGGGTCTCTTCCATGGAATAGAGCTACAAAGATGAACAAAGAAGAGAGAATGTAGGAGGCAAAACATGAAGCCTCTAACCCCCCGCCCCACGCTAAATAAACAGTACAAATAAGTAAAATGTGATCATTTGCATGGTTGTTCAGAGGAAGAGCATTAAAGCAGAGCAGACCATTTTTAACTGTTGGGTGACTGTGATAGGACAGAATTGGTAATTGTGTTTGGAACTCTCCAGACTTTCCAAGGAGAACCATTCGCCATCCTTTAGTAAATGTCCCTTTTGCTGCACACATGGAATGCAGTTCTACTAAAAGAAAAAGCAGACTGCATCACATCTCAGCATATTTAATTCCTCATGGGGCTTGTAACATGGTTCTTATATTTGAGACCACACACTTTCCCCCCTCTGTATCCACAGTATAGAGATATATAGCATATTTCTCTATATGTAGTTTCAGCAGTTATGAATAATATCTTGGGCTTTGAAATGAATTCTGAGTATATTTTAAGAAAGATGATTAAAAACATCATTTCCAAATACTGAAAATCCATCTATTCATTTTGAGATCCAGTACCATATAAATACCAACCTGGCACTGCACATTATAGATTATTGCCCACTCAAACACCAATTCTTTTCTTTATATTCCTCTTTAGTCAAAGCAGTCTGTCTTTCCACAAAGTTCCACAAAATCTAGGGTCATTTCCAGAAACAATTCACCAATACTTGGGAAAAAGCTGTGCTATAAATCAGTGATGACTACTGCATTTGGCTAACTCATCACACAGATATTGTTTATACAGTCTCTCACATTATATATGTGGACAATCAGACTCCACAGATTTAATAAATCAGAGACTGCCAGTGTCTATTATCCAACTGGGTAGAGTCTTAGATAACAGTTTTGGGTACAAGAAAAAAAATCAACTAGTCTCCCCCCAAACCCTCCTGCCAGTGACACTATTGATGCTATGATCACTATGATCCGGAAAACATTTGATGATATAAAATATACTAAGAAGAATTGTTAGCCTGTGCTCTACACTGCAAACTGCCCTGCTCTAATGTAGTTGTATGAAATCATAGACACGAACGTCATCAACGATACATTTCCATGTATTATTTTCACAGTAAATAAGATCTGGCATCATTTGCATGAATTCATAAAGAATTAAATTCTATCCCAACAACTCACACTTTATAAATTGTGTTATAACATTTGAAGCAGATGGTATGAACTATAAAATGGAGTTTTGCAAAAAATTATGCTATACTACAAAGAATATGACTTTATTTGTTCTTAGGAACATTTTAAAATGATAAATTGAGATATCCTACAAGAAAGGGTAAATCAGCCTCCATCTAAGCATTGAGGAAAACGTTCCCAACATATAACTAACCGACTGACATTTTTTTACAAACTGTCCTCTGAGGAGTTGTGCGGGTAATGACAGGTGTTCACAAGGTGGATTTTTGGACTGAGGCAAGTGAAGGCTGGCACACGGGAAATGCAGGCACAGCTACACGTGCCGATTAACACTTGTGGAATTTTTGCCGTGAGGTAACTGTCAACCTCATGCTCACATTTTTAAGCACAGCTTCCACTCTCAGCACACAGATGCAGTTCACAGTTCACAGTGAACGACACAAATATTTACAAAGTCTATTTACACAAAGAGAAGACTCCAGCACACCGTGTTCAGAGTCTGCCAATTTACACGACACACACAGGTGAATTTTCTTGTACATTTAACAAAAATATTTAATTAATCTTAAAATTTGCTTTCTAAAAGATAAAAACTAAAACATCAGAAGTGAGATGTAGTTGAAATGTTACTTTAAATCTATTCTTTTAACTTATGCTTGAAACAATGAATGCAACAGACATTAGCACAGATTCTGCTGTGAGCTGCATTCATGGGGATAAAGGAAAACGTGCTGCAGAACAGCCACGGCAAACAGTCCTTCCTTGCATTTCTTTCAAATTCTGCATTAGGAAAGAAAAAATGTCTGACTTCAGAAATTTGTTATGTAGATATGTTGAACAGATTTTAATATAAAATATCTAAGTACATATTTATGTTGATTATATTTACACTTTACAGTTATTTTACTATTATATTTTAAAATTAAGTAATCTTCAAAAATTAAAATAACTTCAGACATTTAAATTACAAATATTCTTTAAGAGCTAATTTTTTTTTAATGCATTTACTGGTATCTTTAGAAAATAATAATGAAAACATAATGTGTTCTTGAAAGTATGAATTTAAAATGCTTATATCTTAAAATTTGCAGAAGAGTTCTATCAAAATACACTCTTTTGCTATAGTAATTAGAGTAAGACACATTAAAAATGATGGTCATCTTCACTCCATGTACTACAGGCCACACAAGCAACGTTTGGGTGACTGGCAGCTCAATGGCGCAGCCTACGTGTGGAGACGTGTAATAACACGCACAGTGCAGCCGGCGGCCCCAAGCTCCGACTCGGCGTGAGCAGACTGTGGCTTTGGAAACATCATAGGCACATGCACCTTCTACTGCACCACGGCTTCCACTGTGATGTTTACAACTATTTAAAGTAAATGAAAGTAAAGACTAATAAAAACATAGAAGTAAAAAGATTATTTCTTTAGTTTTGAATGGCCTCTGAATAAAATGGAGATTCTTTTCCCTCCACTTAAACACACACACACACACACACCAAACAAAACCCCCAAAACTAAAGAAGCATAATATTTTCTGGCTAATATTCTTTAATAGTTTATATATGTTAGGCTAACAAACAACATTGGTATTTGTGATTTCTTTCAGGTAGCATTTTCCTCAAAAATAGCAAACATACAACACTTACAAATTCTAGTCATAAAATCATTCCAATTTAACAACTCACCTGACTGATTAAACAGGCAGTGCCTGCTGGTTTACGGTACAGGTGATAGGAGGGCTCAAGAAAATCTGTCCTGCTATCTCAGGCATGAACTTGATAAATACATTAGCTTCCCTAAATTCTTTTCATCTCTATATAGCATGGATCTCCAATTAAATATGTTGGGCTTCCATCTAAGGCAGTATAGTCTTTCACTTCCTACAACCTTGTTAAATATATAAATGTATGTTTGAAATTTTAAACTGGCCAATTTTCACAAAATGTATTTACGAACAGCCACTGTTAACATTAGAGTGAGAAAACCAACCTGAAGGAAACAAGTTTGCAGGTGTGCCCTGAGCGCCAGCATTCAGTGTGTATAGTTGCCTTTCTGGTTATTTATTTACCTCTCCCTTTCAGAGCCGGGAGCATCACTTAAAGGAAGACCTCACCCCAGAGCCCCAACTTTGCTCCTGTTGTGCAGAGCTGACTGTTAATTCTAACACCGAAAAGAGTTGTGTGATTAAGATTTGAGCTCATTCCTCTTCTCCATTATTATGAAAAGGGGCGACCCTGTAAATTTACTCAAGCTGTTTAAACACAGAAGCCGCGCAACCACTCAGACAGGCCGCGTTACAGAGTGAGGGCAATCAGGAAAGCTGCCTTAGTGACGCTGCAGCGCCCTGGTTCCAACCTCCCAGTACGGAAGGCTTGTAAAACTGTACTTCAATCACGCAGTAGAGGTCTCATCAACGTGACACGGACTCCAGGAAAACAAACTGGCAGTGGAAACAAGTACCATGTGCTGAAAAACAGTTTCTGCAGCGCACTGCTGCTGCCTTTTCTGCAGCGCACTGCTACGGCCTGTTTCTTTTCTGTTGTCTTGTGAGAAATCAATGAGCGCTGAACAAAACTGAAACAAAAGCCACTGGAATGCTTGGTTACCTATTTACAATTTAATTCCAGAAGCTCTTTCCACTCGGAGTTGTGGTTACACTGTTTGTTTACGTTCTCTCTTTCTCTGGAGGTCAGATTTGCTGATTAAAAATGGTTTGTAAACTCCTCTCAAGACAAAATTGGGATTTATTCCACTCGATCATTTCATGAACCACAGTTGTTTATTTTTCTCAACATTTTAACCTCCTTAGAATTTCAAAATAAACTTGATGATCTCTTACATTTTAAAATTATATTATGGAAGATTCTAAAACTCACAAAGCTACATGCTAAACATGAAAGTTTAGCTGACATCTTACACTGTGCCATAGAAACAAATCTTGTTGCCAGCTCACTCTCAGGTAGGATGGTCAGCCCAAGTCTGATGATAATTCTGCTTTGAAACAGAGCTATGGATATGCTAAGAACAACCCTTGGAACAAATTAAAATGAAATTTACCAGTAAGTCCACCTTCAGTAATTTTCAACTTAACTGTGTGAAAACATAAGGGTGCTAATTCGACGTGAATAAATTCAGACCATTAGAGACAGTCTTTCACTGTTGCTCTTCAACAACTGTCGATGACACTATTTTCTGTTTGCATTTCCTCAGGCGTGTTAATGTATCTTTGTTTAGGCTCACAAGTGAATGGCCAATGTAAACATAGTCAGTGAAACATTAGGGCTGGAAAACAAGTCCACTGAGTGGACCTATGGAAAGGCCATTTGGTCTATTGCCAAGTATGCAATGAGGCTACAGCCCTGAAAGGCTAGAGATTTTTATATATATATATGATAAATGAATCACTCTTTTAAAAAATTCTCAGAATTCTTTGTTTTGCATACAAAGCCCATAAAGGAGGAAGGCGGTCTGCAAGCTGAACTTCGTGCTACATGGGTTATAGTCTTTCTTTGTGGTCTTGACTAGGGATTGTACCTTAGCTACCGCAGCTCAAGCGTAAAAATACTTTGTCTGTAATACTATATACTGTTGCTAGTGACCCTCTAAATCCTTGAACCAACTGTGTCTTCTGGTGTCACAGAAGATAATGCCAATTTATTGCAATGTGTGGCTTTTTTACTGATTAAAATTAAGCCGTAAGCACGTGACAATGGAATTAGCACATTTGGAGTCTGTTTTCCCACATCCCATTTTGCGCCAGTGTGGCTGGTCCCTGCAAGTCTACGCGGGTGCAATTTTAATGACTTGACTGTGTTTTGATGTTCCTATGAAAGAAGCATGGCTTGGTGTTTGTGGAGAAGGTAGATACGGCGGGTGGAGAGCTGTGATGGGGACATGGTGACATCGGTTCTGCTTTCCGATAGGATCGGTGTCATTTTCCTCTCAGCGATAAGACGCCTCCACTGACAGTGGCTGATTAGGGGAAATTTTATTATAAAATTCACTTTTATCGAATGAGGATAGAGTGATAAATGGTTCAGCCTCAGGGAAGGAACAGGGACACATTTCCCTCTCTTCAAATCCCACCTTTCCCCTCTTCTCGCTTTCTCTCTTTGGAAGGAGGATTCCATTTTAGTTATTATTAATGGCCTAAGAGAAGCCCCAACAACATGTGATTGTGAGGATAAAACTACCCGAATCAAGAGGCGCTTAGATGCTGTTATAAAAGAAAGCCTATTTTATATAGTTGCAAATCCTCTCCTCTCTTCTTCTCTAAAAGATAAGGCTCCTTTATAAACCTTTTCCCTATTTTCTGGAAGTTGCCTGATATTTGTTACTTATGAACATCTAACACCCTAAAAAAACCAAACTGAAGCAGTTATGGCTCAGTTACCCTAAATATCCCCCATACCCTCGGAAATAAGTATTTGCCAGGCACAGCTACGCACAGCACAAACAAAAGCAGCGGGATGGGGCTGCCTGACTCTTGCCTGCATTCTAATATTCCAAGGAGAGAGAGGGCAGGAAGACACAGGGACATGTCATCAGGTAGGCGATGACACTTCAGTCCCCAACGGCAGAAGTGACTCACTTACTCCTGGGAGACCTGATCTAACTCTGAAGCACTGTCCCACAATGGAAGTCACCTTGGAAGTCACCTAAGGAACAGAAAATAGGAGGGATCTGCTTTGCTTTCAAACACTTCTTCTGATGAAAAGTTCACCAGTGCCTCAGAGTAACCATTCTACTATCATGAAACATCACACGGTGTCATGTGGCTGAGAACCCCATAGTGGCTGTGAATTTGAAACATTAAACATCTAAATTGGGGGGAGGTGAATATTAATGATAAAAACAATTCAGAAAACTATTTTTATTGTTGAGGGAGACTGCTTTGAGGACTGCAGCCTCCAGGTTATAACTGTCTCCATGTGGTCGTAGGGCCTCTCAATACTTTCTTTAAAGACTTCTCTCCAGAACTTTCTCAAGTGCTGATTCTAGTATGATCCATTCTGGTATACAATTACATATACTACCCCAATGGAGTATTTCAGGGGTCAGTGAGCAGAGTCATTTGTGCTAAGAGAGATGAAAAAGGCATCGGTTTTTCAGAATCAAGCACCATCAAAACCATGCTTACGTTTTGACGTTGGTTAATTTTAGTCTTTTTTGTTACTTTCTTTAAGTAACAAACAAGAATGGTTCTGATGACAAAGTGGCAGTTAGCTAATGGTCCTGGTCCAAGCTTTGCTCTCCATACTCTGTGCCAGGCTTTCTGTGACACAAGCACTATACTGAAACTCATGATGGAGCCCCATTCTCACATGGCACCCCGACTTTCTCTGTTAATTTAATATCCTATAAACAACTTCCAGAGTAAGTCTGGGAAACAGTGAACAAGGACAGCACAACAACAAGAAGCAGCAAACTGAACAGGGTCCAGACTCGCTATTGGCTTAAAACATTTACAATCAAAGGCTTATTGAGAAGCCCATGTAAACGCCTGGTGGGCCGACTTAAGAACTCTTCTCTCAATTGTAAGTTTGCCAAGTAAGATGTATGACCTTTAAAACAACAACAGTATTTTTGAGAGAACTTCTGAAATGCATTAAAATTATTTCATCACAATGAGAGGCACATAAAAATTCAAAAATGCCAAAAAACCCACAACATGCCTCCGTAGAGGTGGTCTGCGGAAGGACTTGGTTGGCGTGATCCGGTGGCGGTGGGAACTGACGCAACATGCACCTCTATCTGTAGTAAAGGAATGCAGCTGCCTATTTCTTTGAATCATCCAATAAAAATGCCCCTCAGGAAGCTCATGATTGTTTGGAGCAGACAAGCAAAAGTGAGCACTGGATTCGCGGCACTTATTAAAGACAGCTTGAGAGGGTGGAGCCAGCTTTGGGCAGGATGGTCATCCCTGACAGGTAATAGTTAGATAGAAACCTAACTAATACGAAGGCTTTCTGTCCAGACCCTGACACAAACAGAGACACACATGTTCAACATGTATGTGCAGCATCATTTCCTTTTAAATGTATTTCTGGCAAGCTACATGTTAACTTTTAATTATTTAAAAAAATTGCAAGATTGTAAAGACTTTACCACTATTATGATAAATCCAATAATAAAATGTCCTAAAAGAAAAGAGCTCTGAATAGAAAATCTCTCCATATTAATCAGCGATTACTATGCAACACTGACTTAGACAGGGGAGGTCAAGGTGTCCAATGGGCTATAATCACAATGGGAATGACCCTGTCAGGAACAATAAGAAATACATCTGACCAACTGGCTTTGCACATCTCACATGGCCTAAGAGCAAGACACATGCTCACCTGTAGGTCCCCATGAGTCCAGTTATATACAGTGTGTGTTTGTTATGCCTGATCAGTACTAGATAAAATGAAGTTTATCTTTTCCAGTTCAGAAAATGTTGCTGTCTTTCAATTGTTTTCTCTCAGGACACCTAAATAAAGGAGTTGTATTTTGGGGGACACATACAAATAAAGGTATATGTCTCAACAGAAGCTTTCTGTTCTGTCACAGGCGTCACCTAGAATGGCCATGCGCATCTGTGTGTACAGGACGAGGATGTCACTGAAGTCCAAAGGCTCCCTGATTGGCTAGTGTCAAGTGGCTGGCGTGAAGGGGAATAGCTGATGCAGAGATCTTCACTGTGGAAAGGTGGCTGACAGGACTGCAGCCCTGGGGGTGCACAGAGGGAGGGAGGGAGAGGAAAGCCCCTTTCTGTGACTGCACTGAAGTGGGAAGAGGCCTGCAGTGAACAAACTTCAGATGTGAAGAACAAAAGGCCAGGTTTTCCCGGCACCACCACTCTGCCTGTTCCTCAACTGAGATGGAGAGGTCTCAAGCTGAAGCCCTGCAGAACTGCCCTTGACAGCCTATATTTATTAGTTAGGTTGTCCTCCAGGAATACAGGGTAAGGTGTTCATTACTGTGTATAAAAAAATTAAATGGAATAATGCTACCAGTCTGTACTTGGAAATTTAGAAGTGCCTCTGCTCTTTATAATCAAATCTGTGCATCAATATAACCCAAAACCAAAACATCAAGTCACTTTATAAAAATTTTAAAATTGTGCTCAATAATCATTAATATGGCTTAGGTCAATTTACACCCCCACTCCATTCCCTTAAATGAATAATTTGGAGGACGGTAGTTCCTAAGCTGATGGTGGATCTGAGGTTACCAGTTACAGGAGTACTTAGGCGCCCATTGGCACAGCAAGATTCAAAGCCCTGGTAGGCTTCAAAGAAACACTTTTCCCCCTCCTTCTAGAACTCTTTGCTTTCTAGTAAAGCTGCAACCACAATGTTCTCTCTCTTAATGCCACCATAAAAAAATCAAAACACTTTAAAACAAATTGATGTCCTCTTTAATACAGCCATCACATCATCACAGGACCCTTGCGCCCTGCATGGGGACAACCGTGGGGATGCAAACCACACATCTCTTTCTTTGTTGCCTGCTTCAATGCTTAAAGAAAGATTGAGAGAGTGTGGGTCTCTCAATCGAGATATGGGCACCTTTGAGTGACAAGACCTAATCAGCTTATCTCGACACTAATAAAGTTGGGGCCTGTGGTGCTGGTCTATGCCCAGCACCAATGAACTTCTAGTAGCCAGAGCCTCCCGGGTCAGGCCTCAGCCTCTGCTTCTTTAAGCTGGTTGAAATCAATTCTTAATGGGGTATTTTCATCTTGATAAATCTCTATAGTCTTCATTCATGAGGGCTGGGGAGGCAATTTAGCTGGATGAATTGCCTAAAGTAATGGCTACACAATCAGTCTATGATAAGTATTTGTGTACATGGAATCAATAAGCTATCTTTTCCAAGCTCTCTGTATGAAGCAAAAAGTGACTTCTTCTGAAATACCATTTTTCTTTTAAGTGACTTTATTAATGGGATTTTTTTTTCAATTAAAGGATGACAAGATCCTCTGCACATTAGGAAACAAACAGATCTGTTTAATAATTTCTGTCAAGTCCTTGCGATGGAGCTCCACAGCTGACAGCCCACACTGTGCTTCCCTGTCTCCATTACTCTGACATTGTTGTGACACAGACCTCCTCACACTAGACATTTGCTAGATGTCCCCACAAAGCTGAGAAATACACATGGCTGGAAGGAGGGGAGGGATTATACAGACACACAGTAGTTTCTTCTTTGAGTTGACTTGTAAGGGGCCCTTTCAAACCAAGGACTAGCCACCTAATCCAAGAAAAATGTGATTTTTTATTATTGCTTTGTAATTGCTATATAAACTCAAAACTTTGCTTGTAAGGTATCAATATGTGAAGCCCTGAAACAGAAGATTCTCTTCAGATGTGTGGGGTGAGAGTCACAGACACAATGGGCATTTTCACTTTACCTTTCCTACACAGTTATCTGAAGAAGTCACTGAGCTCTCTTAATAATGCAGCCTGTTGAGAAAGAGTCCAGTGTTGGCGAAGCACTTTGAAATGATAACAACTGTCTAAACAGGATCACACATCTAGATACGTATGGATAAATATATCATATATACAAACTGGTCCTTGAAGCCATTCAGAAATGCTATTTTCAAACTGTAATCCATCTGAAGAATTATAATCACCTGTATAAGATGCAACAATTCTCAACACGTTCCCAAATGAAGTTTCCACAAACGAAAGGAGACCTTGAGCGGCACTTCCCACTGACTCTACTCTTCACGCCGTAACTGCTTTACACAAAATCCACTCCAGCCTTATCACTCTACACTATCTCTACTACCGAACAGCGGAAGATAATTTTGCAATAAAATTTAATTTACAGAGCTTATTTTCCACTAATCTCCTAGCAGAGGAAAAATGAAACTGGCTGTTACCCACTCCATGCTATGACCTGAATGGTGATGTTTATTTCTTGAATAGTAAGACCCCAAACATATCAATTTTATCATATTGAAAGGCTGGAATATTTTAATTGTCAAAAATTTACATCCTAGGAGAGAAAGTAAAATAGGCTATTAAGAATATATAAAAATAAGACTCTTCAAGTGATCAGGGCCCTTTGGAGAAAGCTTTTACTCGATAAGCTATGAAACAAAATACTTAATATAAAATCCAACAAAGGTATTTTTTTCAAATTATTAGTGTCTCAGTATGGTCAACGATATTTGGAATTTTCAATAAAAATGAAAGCCAGTAATGACCAATGGGATTAAGTATCAAGATTCAGTTTCCTGTGTAAAATGACTACCAGGTTTGCAGTCTGCTGGGCTCACTGCTGCTCTCAATTTTAAAATCTGCATGTACAGACGACACACAAGTTCTGGACGAACAAATTAACAATAGGTCTATTTCAACAGGCCATCGGCTTTAATGGATGCTTATGTTTTATAAAGCATCAATTTCTTTTCTTTTCTTTTCTTTTTTTTTTTTCTTCCGAAGCAGGGTTTCTCTGTGTAGTTTCGGTGCCTGTCCTGGATCTTGCTCTGTAGCCCAGGCTGGCTTCGAACTCACAGAGATCCACCTGCCTCTGCCTCCCGAGTGTTGGGATTAAAGGTGTGCGCCACCACCACCTGACTAAGCACTCATTTCTTAAGGGAACTTTTTAAAAAAAGTATGGTCTCCATGACAATGAACTAATTTCACAGAGTAAAAAAGCAAAGCCATTCTATTGCTCAAGACTGAAACTATGCTGTTTTTGTAATGCTGCAAATATTTGAAAAATTTCTGTGGAAATTCAAATACTTTACTAAAAATCATTGCATAATTTAAGAAAAACATACATGCTGCTCAATGAATTGTGATATTAGTGCTTTATACTGGAATGAATGAGACCACACCTGTCTGGACCAGATTCAAATCCCTTTATCTTCTTTCAAAGTTGTATCACAATAAGGCAACTGAATCATTTACAAGGTCTTTATAGTTGAAATAGCAGAGTCATGTATCAGCAGAACTTCTGTTCTAACATTTTAATTTTGGGAATAGGTAATTCTAAGACATTTTAAGCTATGTGAAATTTGACATTTCTTTATTAATACACAAAACTATTGGTTTGAAAAGCACTTCTTGATCAATCCATACATCTTAGATACTTAATAAAACTTTTGATGCATAAGCCCCTAAGATACGACCACAACGACTTTTTGTTTAAGTGTTTACTCACATGGAAAGTGTGTGCTAACCATTTCTCTACATTGTTGCTGTATTTATATAGGGAAGAACAAAGCATCATCAATCACTCTTCAGATCACACATTTAAAATAACTTAATTTCTCACATATAGTTGGAATACCTTTAAATGTTTTCTGGAATGTTAATTACTAAATTAAATGAAATGCAACAAAGTATATTTCATTTTCATGAATAGCACGAATCTTGGCCAGCTTTGATTTTATAAGACACTAAAATGAATGACCTACTTCCACACCAATCATCTCTTTAAACCCCCAAACTAAAATGTTGACGTAGACAGGGTGAGCTCCAGCAGCAACAGGAAAGACTTTGTAAAAGATGCTGAAATAAGTAGGACAATAATGAAGAAGAAATGAGGGACATTTTACAAGCCTCCAATTGATGAGCAGGCATTGGCTTTTGTTTGAGACCAATAACAGCTCTTTATCGATCACAAAAGTTAATACCTAGTAAGGTCAATATAGGATCTCAACTGTCAACAATTCTACTATGGAGTTTCTTTGCTTCTCCACAGAAATACTATGAAAATGGGCATTATGTGTTTGGAGAAACCAATAAATTATCATCATAATGATAGAATGCTCAAAAGAAACAGGGCAAAGAAGTTACCAATGTAGAGGAGGTTCCTAAGAACATGGTCCTGTAGTTTGAGACACTGATCTTCAGCTACAGAGCCCAGAACTATGAGTTGGGCAGTTCATCAAAGGGAAACAAAATAATAACTCATACTGACAAACGGAATCTCTGTGCAGTGTGTGCATCTGAAAAACCAGGATGTCCATAATTCTCCCAGAGCAGGCTTTTGGCACTATTCCAGTTCCCATGCAGGTGTATGTCAGTATCACACTTGTAACAACACATTGTGAGTGTGTTCATTCCTTCTACCTTTTCCCATTTCCCAAAGAGTTCCTACCAACTTTCACGTTGTGCATGTGCCCGAGCATGTTTGTGATTACAGCAGCCATGTCAGATCCTCAGACAGTGTACTGTCCTCTGGCTTCCACATGCTTCCTGCCTTCCGTGTGCTCTTTGGCTTTGGGGGAGGGCTGGACAAACTGCAGTTTGTGGTGCTGGGGACCATTCAAGCAGGACTTTACACAGGCTGGGCAAATGCTCTACCATTGAGCTATACCCTTAGCCATTAAAGTTATCTTTTGTAATTGTAAAATTTTACAGTAACATTTCAGGAAATTATGAAGTTAAAAAATCTGTAATCCTATTATCCTTAGGTAATCATTTCATTGTTATCATATTGTCTATTGTGTTTTCAATACTGAAAAAGAATGTCAGCTTTCATCTATGTAATGAGTAAAGTGGTCTGTTTATTCCCGCACATCTTAATGATGATACACAGGGAAGAGCTACTAGACCTTAGGACCATGTCTCTGAGAAGTCAGTTTGTCCTGGAGTCATGCAATTGAGGAATCAGCCCATCTTTCTAAAAGTTCACAGTGTTCTTTATGGAATGAAGAGAAGCATTTACGAAAGGGGAGAGGGAAGAGGCTGC